ACCAGCTATCGCTCTCTGCGAGCATGGTGAGGAGTCCTGGGGCTCTTTCTTGCAAGGCACCGGGGATGCGAGTCGTTGCAGGAAGAACAAGGGACACTTGTGTGTAGAGTTTAGGGGTTGGGAGTTTCAGGTTTAGGGGTAAAACGCCGGGACGGGATCTCGTTAATATGGTCCCCGATGTTCAGAGATCGGAGGTTTCCAGATCTTCGGACTCAGGGCCTCGCTTCTTCGGCACCAGCTCAAGAATGGCACTGCAGATGCGAGAATGGGAGAGATTTGAGGAAGAATCGAATGACAGCATCGCCAAGAACCATGAGACGATCATGATGTGGAGTCTGCAGGAAGCCTGCCGATGAACGATACATGTCTTCATACATATACAAACATACAACTGTGTGTGTATTATATATATATATATATATATACATGAACATACATACGTACATACATGGTACTATTACGGCACAGTCTGTGTATATACATGCATGCACGCATGCAGGCACAGGCACACATACACACAGACGCGCGCGCGCGCGAGTTTGCGCACGTGCTTTTTGTCAGCGTGCCAAGAGAGGTTGGGAGTTGCAAATCGCCAGGAAGATATTTCACAAGAACAGAAGTACGTGCACAGCCAGGTACCCCCCGAAGCGCTCCAGAAGAGTTCTCTTTCTGAGTTCCGCTCCCTGTGAGGCCTGGAGGATGCCTTGCTTCCCAGCAGTGGGCTGAGAGTGCAGCTCGTGGAGCCGCAGGAGCCGACATGGACACACATTTTCAAAGGGCTCCATGATCTCAGACGCAGAAATTACGGGCTTTTGAGTCTGAGGTTTTGGGGCTTATGGGTTTACTATTTGAGTGATTCTCGGTGGCTTGGACTGGGGCGCTGCAGGGTTCCAAGGTCCCAGGGCTTGATGGGACCTGTGTTGAGCAAGAGCTCCTGGGATTTCAGGGCCCCCAAGGACCAAGGAGGCTCAGGGACTTCTTCAGGGGCCTCAAACACTGGTAAGGGAATCCCGTGGTAGTCATTTGTAGTCCGCCAGGACTGGTCCGACATCAAAAGCATGTGCACTCGGCTGCCACCATCAGCTCTCAGCACCTGGGTTTCGCAGTTCTGGAGCCTTGAGCTTTCGATTTTCGAGAGGATTGAGGCTTGGTGCATCAAGTTGTGTTACTTGTTTCGGGGCTGTCGGAGTGGTGGCAAGTCGGAGCAATCTCTCAGCCGCTGAGGCAAGATGGTTGCTGCGTCGCTGCACTTTTACCACTGCCCCAAACCGAAGATGCTCCTGCGACTCACGACCCTTCTGAAGCAGCATCTGTCGTGAAGTGTGGAAGCGCAAGACGGATTTGGTTAAGCCTGATTTGGTTGAAACCATGTTCAGGCATTTCAAGCAAGAATGTCATTAATTTATTCAGACCGTGTATTGTTGGTTAATCCAGGCTGCAGTCTATGCAGACTGCCCCGCTTTGCTTGACCGGTCATTCTTCTTGCCGATGGAGTTGGCCGAAGGCCTGATCGCGGTCTGGAGGGCCGCGCTATGATCTTGTCGCCATCGCTCTTGCAATTGCAGTCGTTCTTGCTTTGATCATGTACCTGCCGCGATTTTCGGTGCTTGCAGCTCTCCGACTCCTCCAGGAAGGTTTCGGAGTGACGGAAGTGGCCCACAACGCTCCGATGCTTAGACGCCGAAGCGCTGGCCTTCTTGGCGAGTTTCGGCCCTCCCAAAAGTAACCCCTGGATTACACTGGGGTTGCTACAGGGTGGCCTGGACTCTAGCCTAGTTTCCTTCGGTCCTGCAGAGCATGACCGACACCCCCTCTATTCCAGAGCCCGATACGGAGCTCGCAGTTTTTCAGGCATTTACTTGCTGCTTTTGGTGCGGGTGAGGAATCACTCCCCGTACTGGCTTGCACAAGGGGCCCGGGTTCTCAGTGATGCGGATCCTTACGGTTGTTCTTGCCTTTCTGATTCTGATGACAATGGAAGACTTTGGCGGTGCTGGTGGTTGTGGTGACGTTTCTATTTCCAGCATGACCGATTTAACGAATGGTCGCAAAAATATGATTTCAGTAGTGGTGGTGGTAGTAGTAGTAGTGGTAGTCGTCGTTGCCGTCGTAGTACTAGTAGTAGTAGCAGAGCATCCATGTCCCAACCATGATAACGTCCAGAGGAGTGGCAAGGATGATAACGTTCCCACAAACTCCATCCATTCCCGCAGAGCATCCATGTCCCAACCATGATAACGTCCAGAGGAGACTTCATCCATTCCCACAGAGCATCCATGTGGCAAGGATGATAACGTTCCCACAAACTCCATCCATTCCCGCAGAGCATCCATGTGGCAAGGATGATGACGTTCCTCCAAACTCCATCCATTCCCGCAGAGCATCCATGTCCCAACCATGATAACGTCCAGAGGAGACTTCATCCATTCCCACAGAGCATCCATGTGGCAAGGATGATAGCGTTCCCACAAACTCTATCCATTCCCGCAGAGCATCCATG